CTGTAAATTGTATAATTTTATTTAAACATCTTTTTGATCTCTCAAACTGAGTAAAATTGACAATAAAGTTGACTTTGAAAAATATATATATTCTTTATGAAAATAGTTGACTGTTGTCAAATGAATCCAAATGAAACGTTGGACTGAACTACAACTACGCCTTTAAATCTCTACAGACTGTTTTTCAGTGGGATGGCAAGTTCCTATCTTTAAACATTTATTAGTTTTTTCTCAGAACAGATTTGAATTTCTGAAGTTAATTTAACTTTGCCGACCATGTAAGGTCATCATTAAAAGGTACAATCAATTTGTTTAGGGTTGACTAAAATAATGAAAAACATTTAATTTGGATAATTACTGACAGAATAAGAAACTCAATGATGCTCTACTCACCTGTTCCTTTTTTATAAAGTGAAACAGTTGAAACGATAGATTTTAGTAAACTTAAAAACAACCTTCTCCAAAAGCTATCAAGGAATATACCGAATACTTACAATACAATACCTGTTACTCATATATTAATGTCTTTGTAACTTCAGTAAAACCACTACCTCACTCATTTCTTTCATTCATCACGGTTCAGTAAACTAAGTGATACATGAACCAGTTTAATCATTATAATAACGTAGGATGGCAACTCTTTGAAACTGTAGGTGGCTCTTAAAAGAGCCGTTGTGTTTGGGTGTGCTGGTCTCAGGTCAGTCTAAGCCCTCTCTCCACGGATGCGGCGGGCCAGCTGGATGTCCTTGGGCATGATGGTGACCCTCTTTGCTTGGTTCATCTTGGGGGGCAGCTACATGGATGTCGGTGCAGTCCACAATTATTGTGCAGTTGAAGGCAGAATTAATTTATTATTGACTCCGAATGAAGCACAACTTCATGTCATACAATACAATGACTTTATTTGTAATTGTGTAAAAAAATATGAGCATTGATTAGCAAGCAGGACCTGCAGGAACAGAGAATGGTGATGGATGGAGCTGGGAAGAGAGAAGAATAAAGAAAACAGATCAACTTTATTATCGGATATTAAAAATTCAATTTCAAAACAAGTTGCCGCTCCTACAGTTTTCTAGTATGTAAAGATGATTTCACATGACCTATGCAAAATATCACACTCAATACATGTGTGTCTCTGGGGGGTGCATTGTGCCTTTGATGTATATAAATAATATACCATAACCAAATACTATTACGTACAGTGGAAATCAGGTTGCCAGAGCAGGTCAGTGTGCATGTTCCTCAACGTCTCAGCAGTTACAGGTGAGGTAAAGAAAATAAAAGAGAAAAAGGTCAGTAACAACACTTAGTTTAAAGTAACAACACTTTGAATAATTATCTCTTCTAACAATTTTCTCTCAATAAGCACACAACGACTGTCTTTCCAACAAACAGATTGTCATCACAATGAAACACGTCCAGAAGAATGTCATGCAAAGACCGCGGTGAATTTAGTTTTAGGTTGGATATTCGACGGACATTCGCGGACCCGCCAGCAGCGTCAGTTTCCCCTGCTGCTGTGTGTATTACGACGGGGAGATCTTCTCCGCGAAACGAGGCTTTCACTTAGGGACCATCAACAAATGACTTTTCAATTACACAAGAACATTTTTCTTTTAAATAAATCGACAGCTTCCCGATCGAGTGAATGTGAAGCAAATCCACGCTAGAGCATGCATTTGTTGAACACACCTCTCTTTATTGCATTTTAATACTTTAAATATTTTATATTAATAATTTGATGGAAAAATGTGCTTATTTCTTCAATACCTTCCAGGTCATGTGACCGATTCACTCAAAATCAATGTTGGGTCAAAGAACTACACTGGTTGAATGGGACACACCTCTTTTTATTGCATTTTAATACTTTAAATATTTTATATTAATATTTTGATGGAAAAATGAGCTTATTTCTTCAATACCTTCCAGGTCATGTGACCGATTTACTCAAAATCAATGTTTGGTCAAAGAACTACACTGGCTGCATAGGACACACCTCTTTTTATTGTATTTTAACACTCTAAATATTTTATATTAATATTTTGATGGAAAACTGAGCCTATTTCTTCAATACCTTCCAGGTCATATGACCGATTTACTCAAAATCAATGTTGGGTCAAAGAACTACACTGGCTGCATAGGACACACCTCTTTTTATTGCATTTTAATACTTTAAATATTTTATATTCATATTTTGATGGAAAAATTAGCTTATTTCTTCAATAGCTTCCAGGTCATGTGACCGATTCACTCAAAATCAATGTTGGGTCAAAGAACTACACTGGCTGCATAGGACACACCTCTTTTTATTGCATTTTAATACTTTAAATATTTTATATTAATATTTTGATGGATAAATGTGCTTATTTCTTCAATACCTTCCAGGTCATGTGACCGATTCACTCAAAATCAATGTTGGGTCAAAGAACTACACTGGCTGTATAGGACACACCTCTTTTTATTGCATTTTAATACTCTAAATATTTTATATTCATATTTTGATGGAAAAATTAGCTTATTTCTTCAATAGCTTCCAGGTCATGTGACCGATTTACTCAAAATCAATGTTGGGTCAAAGAACTACACTGGCTGCATAGGACACACCTCTTTTTATTGCATTTTAATACTTTAAATATTTTATATTCATATTTTTATGGAAAAATGTGCTTATTTCTTCAATACCTTCCAGGTCATGTGACCTAATCACTCAAAATCAATGTTGGGTCAAAGGACTACACCGGCTGCATAGGACACACCTCTTTTTATTGCATTTTAATACTTTAAATATTTTTATATTAATATTTTGATGGAAAAATTAGCTTATTTCTTCAATACCTTCCAGGTCATGTGACCGATTTACTCAAAATCAACGTTGGGTCAAAGAACTACACTGGCTGCATAAGACACACCTCTTTTTATTGTATTTTAACACTCTAAATATTTTTATATTAATATTTTGATGGAAAAATGAGCTTATTTCTTCAATACCTTCCAGGTCATGTGACCGATTCACTCAAAATCAATGTTGGGTCAAAGAACTACACTGGTTGAATGGGACACACCTCTTTTTATTGCATTTTAATACTTTAAATATTTTATATTAATATTTTGATGGAAAAATGAGCTTATTTCTTCAATAGCTTCCAGGTCATGTGACCGATTTACTCAAAATCAATGTTTGGTCAAAGAACTACACTGGCTGCATAGGACACACCTCTTTTTATTGTATTTTAACACTCTAAATATTTTATATTAATATTTTGATGGAAAACTGAGCCTATTTCTTCAATACCTTCCAGGTCATATGACCGATTTACTCAAAATCAATGTTGGGTCAAAGAACTACACTGGCTGCATAGGACACACCTCTTTTTATTGCATTTTAATACTTTAAATATTTTATATTCATATTTTGATGGAAAAATGTGCTTATTTCTTCAATACCTTCCAGGTCATGTGACCTAATCACTCAAAATCAATGTTGGGTCAAAGGACTACACCGGCTGCATAGGACACACCTCTTTTTATTGCATTTTAATACTTTAAATATTTTTATATTAATATTTTGATGGAAAAATTAGCTTATTTCTTCAATACCTTCCAGGTCATGTGACCGATTTACTCAAAATCAACGTTGGGTCAAAGAACTACACTGGCTGCATAAGACACACCTCTTTTTATTGTATTTTAACACTCTAAATATTTTTATATTAATATTTTGATGGAAAAATGAGCCTATTTCTTCAATACCTTCCAGGTCATGTGACCGATTTACTCAAAATCAATGTTGGGTCAAAGAACTACACTGGCTGCATAGGACACACCTCTTTTTATTGCATTTTAATACTTTAAATATTTTATATTAATATTTTGATGGAAAAATGAGCTTATTTCTTCAATACCTTCCAGGTCATGTGACCGATTTACTCCAAATCAATGTTGGGTCAAAGAACTACACTGGCTGCATAGGACACACCTCTTTTTATTGCATTTTAATACTTTAAATATTTTATATTCATATTTTGATGGGAAAATTAGCTTATTTCTTCAATAGCTTCCAGGTCATGTGACCGATTTACTCAAAATCAATGTTGGGTCAAAGAACTACACTGGCTGCATAGGACACACCTCTTTTTATTGCATTTTAATACTTTAAATATTTTATATTCATATTTTGATGGAAAAATGTGCTTATTTCTTCAATACCTTCCAGGTCATGTGACCTAATCACTCAAAATCAATGTTGGGTCAAAGAACTACACCGGCTGCATAGGACACACCTCTTTTTATTGCATTTTAATACTTTAAATATTTTTATATTAATATTTTGATGGAAAAATTAGCTTATTTCTTCAATACCTTCCAGGTCATGTGACCGATTTACTCAAAATCAACGTTGGGTCAAAGAACTACACTGGCTGCATAAGACACACCTCTTTTTATTGTATTTTAACACTCTAAATATTTTTATATTAATATTTTGATGGAAAAATGAGCCTATTTCTTCAATACCTTCCAGGTCATGTGACCGATTTACTCAAAATCAATGTTTGGTCAAAGAACTACACTGGCTGCATAGGACACACCTCTTTTTATTGCATTTTAATACTTTAAATATTTTATATTAATATTTTGATGGATAAATGTGCTTATTTCTTCAATACCTTCCAGGTCATGTGACCGATTCACTCAAAATCAATGTTGGGTCAAAGAACTACACTGGCTGCATAGGACACACCTCTTTTTATTGCATTTTAATACTTTAAATATTTTATATTAATATTTTGATGGAAAAATGAGCTTATTTCTTCAATAACTAATGACTCAAAATCACTTTATGAATTGAATACAAGTCTGTACACAATAGAAACAGCTCTTTATATCGGATAATATTACATCCTCTATTTAATATTAATATTTATATTAAAAAATTCAGGTTTTTTTTCTAGAGCTTCCCTGTCATGTGACCCAGTGATTAATGATCAGAAAGTAATACAAACAAGGCTACACAGGACACATGTTTTACTAATCGTCATCATTGAGCACATTTCAAGTATTACTTGCACAAAGGACAATTCCAATATCCTGTCTCTGCCTTTTTAAAGTCTCTGCTGTCCATTGCCAGGCACTGGGCATGGTACCATCGTTCACAGTCATCACACTGAACCTGTTGAAGTGAAAGAAATAGTGTATTTATATATTTGTACCTTAGATTACCATTCAGTTGTCTTAATACTTAAGTGTTAGTGAGGAATCAGCTGACACAATCATCTGCTCCTTAAAACCCACTGCCTGTGTTTTAACATGCTCTATTGTTTTTTTTTTTGTTTTTTTTTTATTGTTTCTATCTTTTACATTTTTTTTATTTAAGTATTCCATTAATGTGTGTTGCATGTTTTAAATGTATTGTATTTAGTTGTTTAAAATTAATTATGTGTTTGAGGTTGACTTTTAAAATCTGTCCAGGGACTACAGATGAAAAATAGCCTCTTGGCTAAGTCTGGCACAGTTACAGAAATGTTAATTAATGTGCACTGTCCCTGTTAAATAAATGAATACATAAATGTATACATGACAATTCCACATTTTCTTCACAACAGCTCACCCAGTCTGTGATGGGAGATCCAGATCCTGGAGGCCTTAAGGCAGCACACATAGCACAATAAGTATGCTCATCAAAGACTGAAACAAGATAACAATACATGTATGTCAGCTTCTATATACACATACATATACATACATATATATATATATATATACATACAGACACCCATATATATATATACACATATTCATATTTATTTACCTGATGCCTCAAGGATTTCGAGAGCCAGTTCTCTCCTCTCCCCGTTTCATGTATTTCTTCGAACACTCGAAATTCACATTCGGGATCAGAGGGAAGGACTCCATGACTGCCTTTGCCATCTAAACAAACAACACTTATGTTATGGAGGGTTTTTCTTCTTTATTGTATAGTAATACAGATACAGACAAAAACATGAGACACATTATAGAAGACATCCACCCTTGACTAGAATGCCTCCCAAAACCTTTGAGTATTGATATAGACCGGTCCTATTATTGGAATTTTGAGATATTTGGAAGCAAAGTTTTGTCAATTAAACTTTCTGTGTTCAAGTGAATACTACATTAGTATTAAATAACTGTTAATTTAAGTTCAGCAATGTTGTGTCATAATCCAATTGTTGTCAGTTGTGAAAAATACAATAAACAACAACATGATATCGGCAATATACTGTATATTGTCCATTGGCCAACCTGCCTGCTAAATATGATGGGGATCAGCATCGGCCTTTAAAAAACCTTTATCGGTCAACAACTACTTTTGACAGTTTTTTTAATCTGCCCTTGCATTCAAAAACTGTCTTTCACATTAAAAACTCTGCTTGTTAACTGGATGAAAACAGAATCTCTTCAGCTCACCTTCACAACAACGACACCACAGCTACATCCATCCGTTTGAAGTGGGTGGCCCATAACGCCTCCCTTCCACTTAACATCCACCCAGTCTGTTATGCTGTGGCGTGTCCTCCTCACCCTGAAGTACTCCCTGAGAAAGGATCATGTTAACACACTTTACATTTCTAATGATGTGGCTCCTAAAGATAATGTAAGAGAAATTCATACTGTTTGTATTCAGCATATGACCATTTATTTATATAAGAGGCAGCCACAGGTCAGCTATAGATATCACTGTCTGAACACAGACTGTATCACACTGTTTAAAATGCTTTCAATGCTGTTTGTGAGTATGAATATAACTAAATGTGACACATTTTTTACGTTTAAATATAGTTTTTACTTGAATTTTCAAATATCTATTGAATTTTGATTTACTGTATTCTTTTGGCAGCATGTTCGGAGTCATCAAGCTCTTTTATGCTTTGAGCTGGATCCACCAGGAATACGGTGCTGGTTTTGGCATGAATGTACTGTGAGAGAACAAAAAAAGTAAAAGCACTTTTCATCAAAAAATATTTTTGGCTTCACTATGTAAGTCTTGTGCTTTAACAGAAATAATACAATGACAAAATAATTACAAACCAGCAACTTCCAGTGGGTTGTTGTTGACAAGTACAAAGGACAGGACAGCTTCATAGTTGTCAAAGTTGACCTATAATGGCATCAAATAAAGGATTAAAACAAACTTGAAGGCTAAGGTAAAAATAACAACAACATTAGTCTGACAATGATGTTCTTGTGCCATTCATTTGTTGTGCTTAGAACAAGTGTTGGTATGGGAATTCAATAGTAAGTAGATTTATCAGGTGATTTAACTAATGAGTATAGTTTCAGAGAGGATAAAGTAAAATAATCTCAGCTAATTTCCTATTTAAGACCTCAGCCAATGCTTCACTCCATGTACCTAATGTGTGAGTGTGAGCCCACAAATCAAATCCACACCTACTTCCCCCTACAGCATCACCATGCACAAACACAACACACCACACACATAAACATACACAGACCACACACATTACCTTCGGTAAACTGTGAGATATTAGCTGAGTTCTGTCCCCGAACAAAATGACACTTGCTGTGTAGTGATTTAGCAAGTACATTTTGTTCAGAACGGCGAATTTGTCGGCAGCAACATGAAACACGCCTTCAATTACCTGGCAAAAAAGATAATAACAATTTGCCAATTAATGCATATTCCCAGTTATACTGAACTTTCATTTCCTGCAACTTTGAGAATCTTGTGACTGACAAAAGTATCTAGACATTTTGGGGAGAAATCGTTAAATGCTAGATAAAGAAAATAACACAGTGTAGAGTGAAACTTCAGACACTTGAAACATGTAGTACCGTCCCCAGTCAACCACTGGTGGGGTCGAAGTGAGCATAGCTCACAGTGGCGGATAAGCAAGATGCGTCCTTTCATCTGTGAGGGGAGCACTGCCACGACCACCTCTGTGTCCTTTTTTTTCCACAGCCAGGTCAACTGCAAGTTAGGATTGAGGGGAAATAGATGCAGTCTGTTTAATATGGACACTTGAGGAATCTTTTAACCCTCCGGTATCACTCTGGACATTTTTGTCCCGAATGACTAATTAGGGTAGTGCACTTGAATGACACCAGAGGGTTAACAATCTTGAATTTTTGGGTGAAGGCCTTGTTTTTGTACATGCACCATCAAAGCTACATGCACAAAATATAATTAAACTGTCCATGTTTATGCATTTAACCTCAGTCCCTTTTAGAGTTTTCACTAAATGACATTAAACAGGCTGCTCAGGAACAGAAACTGTAATTGCAGTTTAAAGTCTGATTTGGAAATATAGTTTCTGTTATAAGTTTGTAAGCTGTATTTACATTTTTCATCTTCATATTCTCCCCCTACAACATGCACCTAATCATCTTGGGTTATAATACTTCATGTCCTTTGTCCTTCACCTCACTCTTTACCAATTAGTCCATGCTTTACTTTCTGACAATATTTACTTATTCCATTGTTACAATTAAAATGCTGGAGAACAATTTACACACTTTGAACATAGTAAGTCTTAGAGAAACTCACATTTCCCTGTGCGTCTTGTTCCTGTTGGTCCACTTTTCTTTTCTTCACCTTTGTGGCAGGTGGGCTCTTGGGGTTGGGTAGTGCTTTTGGTGGATTGAAGTACTTGGACTTGGACTTGGAGTGACCAGCAGAACTTTCCCGCTTGTTCCACTGTTCCTCGTGGTCATCATCTGGCCTGCTAGGATGCCCAAAGTTTTTGTCCAGAATATGCATTGGCAGATTGTGTTGCTCAATGTGCTCTACGTATCTTCCTTGTATTGAGGCATACATTTTGGAGACAAACTCAGCTGGTCTCAGGTACTTTTTTTTTAAAAGGATGGAGTGTTTGACCAACCCAAACCAGAGCTCAACATGGCAGTTGGTATCCCTGGTTTTATGACTTCCATCTTTTTTTGAGGTACCTTTTCTATGTCGCGACAGATCCCCAAGCAACAAACCACTCCACAATGGGAAGATCCCCATGTAGTTTTTGAACAGTGCATCAATGACACCAGGACAGAGGTAGTGGTTTTTTACCTGAACAGCATCGTCAGAGAGAATGTCACACTGCTTGGTCCCGCCTGACTTGAAAAGCTTGTGTAAAAGGGGACTTTCCAATAATGCTATGAGCATTTGTTTCCATTTTGCTTTCCTCCTCTCCCATTACATGTCCACTTTCCTCCAGTTTCAAGTCCCGAGTTTGCAAAATGCACTTGTCGAGGTACATTTTGCTCTGTTTCACCGAATAAGTGTACTCCTCTGCATCAAAAAGCACACACATATGATAAAAAACATTAAGGGCTTCCTGCATACTTGTGCAGTTCAGGATGTACGCAAAACAGAATGTTGCATATTCCTGTGTGCCTCTGTCTACAGTTTTTTTCCCAAATGCTTGTGACACAGCCTTCATGATATGAGCAGAGCACAGATGCAGCACAGTGAAGTTAAGAATCAGTTCAGTTTGTCCAGACACTATCTCAAATGCTCTGTCAAGGTACACTGACATATGTTCCCTGTTAAAAGACAGAAGCACACTGTTTATCAGAGCCCAACTATAATCTGTCTCAACCTGTGCTATCTTTCTTTTTGTTATGTAAGACAACTTTCTTTTAAATTCCATGAGCCAATGGGAAATAGATGGAATGGAATGGCTGTTGGTGATCAGTTCTGTGACAGGCAAGGGAGGCTTATCCTTACCCATTCCGGGCAAAACCAAAGCATAATACAAGACCCGCTTATTTTGATCAGGAATTTTCTGTATCACGCTGCCTGTGGCATCAAGGTAGAGAGTCGTAGGTGTTGGCTTTTTCAAGTGCTCAGTCAATATCTTTATTCCAGCATCTGTGTATAAATGTACAGCAAACGGATCAATTTGTAGGTGCTGAAGATAGCCTTTTGATGATGCATGACTGCTGCTCTCTTTGATTATTTTTTGAGTCAACATGAGTTCAAGCATCATGTCATCGTGGAGCCTTGCACTTTTCTTCACTTCAGAGGATATTTTCTTTAACACGTCTTTGGTGAGGCTTCTGCTTATGTTACCAGCCATTATTTCCTCTACTGGTGTCTGTCTTAACATAGTGTAATAATAATTACTGACACCACTGGTTAAGGCTTTGGAAATTGTTCCTCTTCTTGTGTATTTTGCTGGTCTAAATCGCCTTTGATTTTTATGGTGTATAACTTCACCAATGCGCATGACTTTAAAAATAATTTTTTTATCCGTTGATTTTGGCCTGTTCTTTTTTGAGAAACTGTAGACAGCGTTGCATCCATTAAATGTGCATTTTGCAGAGGCACAGAAAAATGGCGAATTCTTTTTACGGCTATCATTTGTCTTAACATGCTGGTATTTGAAAGCAAGTGTGCAGCATGGATTATTTTTCAAAAATTCTTGATATAATGTATCAGTCCAGGGGGGACGGAGTTTTTTTTTGCCATGTTTAGGTTTAATTTTGTTCCATTGTTTTCTTGTCATGGCAATTTTGAACTTTTTTGGCCCTGCTTTGCACTTTCTGTTCATTGTTGTTGTCATTTCGGTGGCTGTCTCTGTACTTTGTTGGTCTGACTCTTCTGTGTCTATCTCAGACTGTGGCTGTACGTTACTTATTTCCCTGTCATCCTGACTTGTGTCCTCGTCTTCCTCACCCGTAGGTGCGTTGTAACACTGTTTTTCTTCATCATTCTTATCTTCATCTTTCCCCACAGGCTCTGTCCTGTTTTTCGTTTGTTCCTTTTTCGTTTTTTATCCTTTTCTGGCCCTTTCTTGTCCTTGCCTGTTTGTCCCTTTCCGTTCATTGTTGTTGTCATTTCGGTGGCTGTCTCTGTACTTTGTTGGTCTGACTCTTCTGTGTCTATCTCAGACTGTGGCTGTACGTTACTTATTTCCCTGTCATCCTGACTTGTGTCCTCGTCTTCCTCACCCGTAGGTGCGTTGTAACACTGTTTTTCTTCATCATTCTTATCTTCATCTTTCCCCACAGGCTCTGTCCCTGTTTTTCGTTTGTTCCTTTTTCGTTTTTTATCCTTTTCTGGCCCTTTCTTGTCCTTGCCTGTTTGTCCCTTTCCGTTCATTGTTGTTGTCATTTCGGTGGCTGTCTCTGTACTTTGTTGGTCTGACTCTTCTGTGTCTATCTCAGACTGTGGCTGTGTGTTACTTATTTCCCTGTCATCCTGACTTGTGTCCTCGTCTTCCTCACCCGTAGGTGCGCTGTAACACTGTTTCTTGATACTGTGCTGTCCATCTCTCCCTCTTTCACTGACATATTTTCCTAAATACAAACATTACAAAAGTACAAAATCTCATTTAATTACTGTATCTCTTATCGTAAGACTACAATGCAACTTTAAGCAATCTGCCATCCTTGGGTCAATTACAGTAAATTCTGTTAACATCCTACTGTGATGCAGTATTTAATTAAATAAGCACATTAACCCTTATGCCTCCCTAAGGAAATGTATTATCCATGCCACTGTTTAATTTTGCGAGCATTCTGATTGTGTTAAGAATATGGCACGACATTTGGTAAAGATGTGTTTTTTTGGAAACATGTTCTTAATAAGTGTATGTGTAATCAAAATAGTGACTTTCAAATCCCTAGCGACAAAAATAAAATGAATGAACATTTGATAATTATGATCAGCACTGAATTTGGTTAAAAATATGTAAGTAATTGAAAGTGGAACAAAAATATTAACATAGCCTATAATATCTTTATTACAGTATTTTTAGATGAGGAAATTTTTGTCGTTAGTGTTTTCAAAGTAACGTTTTTAAAAAGGGATTCACAAGGGTTAAGCTTCAACTTAAAAGCCTCTGGGGCAGAGTCCTGCATGGGTCCAGTTTTGCAAATCTGCACCCACCCGAACCCTCGCAGCTCAGTAGCTACCGCGAACCGACCGTTACATGCAATTATCTTCAAGTCAAATCTGGACCCGACCTGTTGATATAAGACCCACGACCCGACCCGTTGTGAATTTGGGGGGGGGGGCTAGTGGAGTACTTCGTGACCACAGAGCGTGAACGTTGTGATCAGCTGTTTTAGCGCAGTTCTCCAGTGAAGGGGGGGAGTCTCCCTCCGCAGCCGGTTGGCGTAGTTTTGGCACAATTCCGTTGTACAGACCGACGTTAACAGCAGCCCTGTCTGTGCACACGGAGACCGACTCTGTCGTCCGGTGATCTAACCGCCTTCTGGAAAAGCTTCACAAGTACGTCGGTACGCAAATGCGCTTTGTGACAGAAGTGACCGTACGCAATTCAGATTGTTGCCGCGCATGCGTACCAGTTATGTGCACCCCTGGATATAGGCCTACAATGTATGTTTTGCCCGTTACAACAACTATTTTGCGGGTTATCCGCCGGGTATCCGAGGCAGGACTCTGCTCTGGGGCTCATCAAAGTTATTTTTTAACAGTACCTGCTTGAAGCACCTCAGTCCGGACTCCACGTCCGTCTTCACCCCAGATGACCCGCAACCACTTAAGATGCTCTTTCTTATACTTTTTAAACTGTGAAGTGAACTGAGAAATTTCTTCTTCTT